ACTGAGATGGGCCCTCTTAACTTGGAAGCATTTCCTAGAAGAGAGTAAAATCCCTTTCCAGCTCTGGACTGATCATAAGAATCTTGAAGCTTTGAAAAACCCCAGGAGGTTGTTTCTGAAATAGGCACGCTGGGCCCAGCACTTTCATCCTTTTAATTTCTCCATCCACTATCTGCCAGGGGGAAAAAACTTCCTGGGAGATGCTTTGTCATGAATGCCACAATATAACAGTGGGAAGGCAGAAGTGGTTAAATCTCTACTTTCCCCACAGCAATTGGCTGCCCCAGACACTATAAGGGCTCAGACTAAGAAACCCCCACTGTTAGATAATGTGGTGATTGGGCAATTCAAGAAGATGCTAGAGAAGGATGAGTGGTTCAGCGGCCATAAAAATCTCTGCTCAGTGCAAGATGGGTTGGCTTGGGTTGAAGGAAAGCTGTATGTGCCTGCAAGTCAGAGACTGAGAATCAAGCAGACCTGTCACAATTAAAAAATGGCAGGATACTTTGGGTTTGTAAAGACTTTTCACCTACTTAAGAGGCAATTTTGGTGGCCTTCCTTAAAGAAGGCTATTGAAAGTTATGTGGCTAGCTGCCCGTCTTGTGCTGCTGCTAAACATAGGCAAGGGAAAATGCCTGTTCTCCTGCAGCTGGTAGTGAGCCCTTCAGCATCCTGGAGAGAAATCTCCATGGATTTTATTGTGGAGCTACCTGAAAGTAAGGGAAACACTGTCATTTGAATTGTCACTGACTTGTTTTCTAAACAAACCCATTTTACCCTGTCTCAGAATATCCCAACCACAAAGACTTTGGCTAAGTTGTTTGTGCAGCATATTTATCACCTTCATGGTGCCTCAAAGTACATAATATCCAATAGGAGTGTTCAATTCACCTCTAAGTTCTGGAAAGCATTTCTGGACCTTTTAGGTTCGGATCAGGAACTGTCATCTAATCATCATCCTCAAATGAATGGGGGGTGTAGAATGAACAAACTCAGTTCTAGAACAATACCTCCATTGTTTTATTAATTATCAGCAGGCAATTGGACTGATCTGTTGCCGTTTGCTGAAGTGGATTACAACAATGCAGTCCAGTCCAGTACTGGGTTCACTCCTTTCCAAGTGGCAAATGGCCAGAGTTTCCTTCCTATGCATGAGTTGCCTGCCAATGAACCTGCCATTCTTTCCCTAAAAGAGTGGGTTCATCAATTGCAGAACATCTGGCCAGTAGTTAGAAAAGCTTTGGATGAGGCTAGGGAAGTTTATAAGACATAGGCTGACAAAAAAAGAATGAAGCCTAAGCCTTTCCATGTTGGAGATAGAGTTCATCTTTCCATTAGATTTTTACAGTCGTTGCAGCCATCAAAGAAACTGAGGCCAAAGTTTATTGGTCCGTTTTCTATTAAATGCATTATCAATCCTGTTACAGTGGAGCTGGAACTCCCTAAGACAGTGGTTCTCAACTTTTTTAATGCCGCGACACCAACCGGTCGTAAATCAAGGACTACCCAACCGGTTGTAAGTTGAGGACTACCCAACTGGTCATAAATCGAGGACTTTCCCTGCCCGGGAGTGCCGCGCATGCGTGGTGCTGCCCCCTGCGCCGGCCAAGGTGTATCTGGCAAGGGGCAGCGACGGTGTAGGGCGACCACTGGCTGGGCCACCAGCTAGTCCAGCCCAAGGGAGGTAAAGCACCCGCCAGGCCCCACATGCGCCAGCAACCCTCCCTGTGCCTGCTGGCCTCCCACCTCCCACCCCTGGCCCTCTTTTACTTACATTTTTAGTAGTTGCTCAGCAGGGAGGGGTGGAAGCTTCCAGACAGCTCGTCTTCGCTGCAGACAACTTGCAGCACTGTTTGCAGACTGGGGCTTTTGGCGGGCTCAGCAGGGCAGAGACAGCCTGGACAATTGCTATTAGCTTTTGAAAACCAATAGAATTAGACTCTATTCAAGACAGTCTATTCTATTGGCTTTCAAAAGCCAATAGAATAAAAAGGAGTAGCACAGCTAAGGAAAAGGGGAAAAAATGGTGGACTGCGTTGTTTGGCGACCCCCGTGAAATGGTCGTTTGACCCCAAATGGGGTCACGACCCACAGGTTGAGAACTGCTGCCCTAAGAGTTTGAGATAAATCCACCCAGTTTTCCATTGTAGCTTATGGAAACCTGAGGTCACCTCCAAACCATGACCTATTACCGTTCCGGTTCCTCAACCTATTATGGTTGAGGGTGAGCAACACTTTGAAATTAAAGATATTTTAGATTCTTGCAAATATCACGGGTCCACACAGTATTTAGTGGCCTGGAAAGACTTGCCTGCTTCACAGAATGAATGGGTTTATAAAAAAAAACATGTCAGGGCCCCTAGATTGCTCATAAGCTTCCATACATGCTATCAAGATAAACCTGATTAATGTGTTTATTTTTGTTTCCTTTCCCCCTTCCTGTTTTATTTTGCAGGTGGATTTGTCTTTCTATTGGGGGGGGGAATGTCAGAGCCCCTCAAATATACAGTATTTGCCTTTAATCCTTCCATTTCTTCCTTTCTTGGTTTTGCCTATGTATTTTCAGGCTTGCCGTACTGTTGGAGGAGGGTGCTTGCATGGGGATTATTATTTGCTTTGCTTTGCTCTGCTCTGTATGAGATGCCCTTCCTCTGGGCGAGAGGAATGTCACCTGAAAACATCTGCCTTATCTCCAGACAACAGAGCCTGGGACCGTTGGGAAACAAAACCAAGAGAGACCTTGAGAAAGGCACTAAATCTTCAGTTTCTCATAATATGGTGGCACCTGTGAATTGGCTGGATTTCAACCAGAGAGTTGGACACTGGGGGGAGGAGTTTTGAATTGCCTTTTTGATGTAATCCTTTACGTGCCAAATCTTTAGACCTTACTTTGCTCTCTTGCCATCACTAACTCTCAATAAAAAGTTCCTTTTGAGACAATCTCTGTTTCAAGAGTTCTGCTTTCTTGGGAGATCTAGTTGAGGCAGGTTTTATACAGAGTCTGAAGTCAATCTATATACTCCTAAAAGCTCGGATGGAGATTTTACAAAACCACATGAAATCCAGAAGGGAACAAGAGGTGTCCTTTATCCCCTTTATTATTTATTATAATGTTGGAACTGTTATAACAGAGCAAAAGGACTACAAATTAAAGTGCATAATTACAAATTATTGATTTGCAAAACCTGCTAGAGAACAATGAATATGTTATGAGAAAGATTAAAATGTTTGGAGAAATGGTGAGTTTCAGAATAAATAAATCAAGGACAACAATATTAAGAACATAAATGTGGAAGATCAAAAAAGTGGAATTTAAAACTGGTTTTAAAGTTGTGAAAAGGGTATAGTACTTGGGGGTGACTCTTACTGAGGAAAATTCTAAGCTTTATAAAAGAATTATGTTAAAATATGGAAGGAGATAAAATTCGATTTAAATAGTTGGCAAAAATTAGATTTCATTAATGGGAAGAATTTCAGTAATTAAAATGAATAAACTATCTAGAATGTTATTTTTATTTCAGACTATACCAATATTGATTAAAAGGTTCCATTTTCAAACAGTGGCAGAAAGATATATCTAAATTTATTTGGCAAAATAAAAAACCAAGAATTAAATATAAGTTCTACAAGATTCTAAAAATGGGTTTACCAGATCTTAGATTATATTATGATGCTTGTTGTCTGGTATGATTAAAAGATTAAAAGTTTTAAAAGAACTTTAACAAATTCAAGGCTGTTAGACCTCGAAGGTTTTGATTTGAGATTTGGGTGCCATGCCTATCTATAGTATGATAAAATAAAAATTAACCCTGGTTTTAGGATTCAGGCTATTAGGCAATCGATAGAGGAAGTATAAAAGAAGATTAACTGATAAAGTGCTACATAGAACAGAGATGATATCAAAATGTAAATGGATGGCATATCGAGACTTATTGATATTTGAAAAAGAGGGATTTAAGATAAAGACAAAAGAACAATTAATAAGTGAAGAATTTGCTTGTGATTGGTTTAATTAGTATAGAATTTTGAAATATTTAAATTTGATTTTAAAAAGTTTTGTTTTCACAGGAATTAAATCTGAACTGAAGGTCACTGGAAGTGACCACTTGATTTCTAAAATATAAAAAACCAAGATGAACCTAGAAGGTAATACATTAAAAAGAGTTATGGTAAAATGGGCAAAATAAGCTGGGTATAATGCTAGATAAATCAGATGAATGGACTAAAATTTACATTAAATTATAGTTCGAAAGAAAAACTTTATAAAATGTAGTATCATTGGTACTTGACCCCAGGTAGACTAGCAAAAATATATAAAAGGATTTCTAGTAAGTGCTGGAAATGCAGTCAAAATCCAGGTTCATTTTATCATATGTGATGGTTTTGCAAACATGTGAAAACATACTGGATAAACATAACAATGACAATGCAAAATACATTTAAGATACAAATATTAATGAAACCTGAAGTTTTTCTTTTAGGTATGATGGACAAGCCAACTGAAAAACAATTTGGGGTGCTATTCGTTCACATGGTAATGACTGCGGGGATTGTATTTGCCAAACACTGGGGGGGGGGGGAAGAGATGCTGACTGTTGAAGAATGGCTTTTGAAATTGACTAAATTAACAGAGATGGCAAAATTAACTTCTTGGAGTAGAGATAATGGACTAGACAGCTTTATAAGAGATTGGAAACCATTTCTGGACTTTCTATGTGCTAAATATAATAACAGATAGTTAACAGAGGGATTTGACGATTAGTGTAATGTTTAGCTCAACCTGTTCTTCTTTCAGGATAGGAGGAAAAGAACTTCATATCAAGTTTAACTTTATAAAACATGGAACAAAAACACAAAAAATCTAATTTAAATAGCAAAAAATCCCAGAGTGTCGTAAGCTGGAGAAACTAAAATCATAAGACAATTATATACGCATTGCTTAAGCTAAATGACTATGTCTACCTAAACTTGGTAAAAGGATTTCAAGAAAAAAAACATACCTTGAAAAAACCATGAGCGCTATTCCTCTGTCCCAACCAAAATGTAATGCCAACTGGTAAATTCATATACGGCTTTTCCACCACTCTCTCATATATTCTGTTTTTAAAAAAGAAAGTAGGAGTAAAATACTTTTTAGAAGAAGTCCTGTTCTTTCAATTCATACACGTTACTGATACAAATTGTAACTTTTAACTTACTTATTGCAGTCTACATGCAAAATCAAATGCGATGCACTGATTGCTAAGGACAACCTGTGCCACTTGTCATCTGCCAAAATGTAAGGAAATATTTCGGTGTGTGAGCGATGGTTTCCTGAACGATAGTGCAATCTAATTTCATTTCTCTGGCCGCTGCTTTCTAGTTCCAAGTATCTGCATCAGAAATGGACCAGAAAGTTATGAAGTAATTTAACAACAAAGAAATAGAAAACATGCTTCTTTGCATACATACTACAATAAAAATGAACAGCTATTCATAAAAAGCAAATACTGCATAGAGGTCACTCTTTCGAATACAGTAAAGTCCACATTCCAGACAGAGAGGGCCGCTGGTTTGAAAGAGGGGTCAAAGAGGCCATCTATGTCAAAATTGAATAGCCCTCTCTCAACAGTGGGGGAGGGATATGACATCAGCTATCTCCAGTCTACAACACAGTCCTTTCAACAGTTCCAAGAAGGCTCCATACCCATTGGCACTACTCAGGTGACCCTGACAACACAGATAAGCCTCCAAGGGCTTCAATGACTCGCTAAAAGAATACAAATGACCAGCTGTCTGCAAGGAATATAAATCCTGCCATTCCCCGCCATCCAGTCAGAGTTGATGAAGCTTCTTGGATGAGAAGGGAAATGTCTTTAAAGAAAAACAAGAAAGTCCAGTTGCTTCATGAAAAAAGTATCTTTGGGACTGCATAGTTAGATTTTCTCCTAAATTGGTTTCAGTATGGCAAAGAATAACTCAAATTTGAAATTATATCAAAAATTAAACATATAACTGTCATAAATGTCGGTATAAATGCATGTTTCCATGAAATAAGCAGTCTTATGTTCTGTCATTTTCTTTCTTTTTTTCTTTCCTTCTGTAGTTCTTACACAAGGAAATATTTTGGGTTTACTGATTTAAAAAATAAATAAATGAATGAACATATAAAAAAATCAATGGTACATAATTTAATATAATAATTTCTTCCATCTCAAAATTTGAAAAGGATAAAATAATTGTTTACAAAAGAGAAAAGGAGAAAACTCAATAATTTTATTTTCTTTCCTAATCAATTTGTAAAGCCATTGACTGAAGCAAATAAAATTGAGTTATTCATAGGAATAGAGATATGTTATTGCAAAATTTTAGCATTAATTAAATCTAACATTCACTTCTTCTATCCATATAAAATGTAGAATAGTGGTTGTATTCATATAATCTAGTACTAAGCCATCTACAGAAGCCTGATATAAAATACTATATGTTATAAATACATATATTTATTTATTTATCCATCAAAATTAGAAACTGCCTATGTAATTCTCTGTGACCCTGGCAGTATACCATAAAAACATAAAAGCCATATAAAAATACTGTTGCTCCACAAAATATATATTTCTATAGCTACTTCTGTAGATAAAGACCCAGAAGCCTGTTTTATTGAGTTTCTAAGCTTACTCTTAGTTATGCACATTTGACTGTATTCTATTTAAAAATATTCTAAACAATATGTCATTATTAAGCTTCTGATGTAAAAGAATGTGGCTGATAAAAATTAATGCATATTATAGATTAGATTAGAAAACTATAAAAGTATACATTTTTGCTATTTTTGATGAATTGGCATATAAAGGAATAAGACAATATTAGACAGTATTAATGCTGTTTATGTCAACGCTGCTAACATCGGATGTTCTTACTGTGACAATATACGAAGATGTAGACATTTTCTATTTAACCTATTTATTACTTTTAGAGTTAGAATTAGATGGTGCTGGAGGGGAGGGGAGAAGAATGTGCAGGTGGATTAGTTAGCCATAACAATATCTCAGTAGAGTATTCTTCAGGTTGTATGTAATAAGAGGAGATAAGAAATGGTGGGTTATGCAACTGGAGGGAAAGTTTGCACTTCAAACTAATTGGAGAATGTGATTAATGACTGTTAAATGAAGGAGTGAATTCAGATTTTGGCTTCGCCTATGTACGTGCCGGAAGCTATGTTTTTCTCATTAAAGATTCTTTAAGGTAAACAATGCCTCAAAGTTCTTTGAAGAGTTTCTTCCTTCGGAACCATGACAGTTTACTTAAAAGAAAGTAAAGGATGGAGAGAATTATCAGCACTGTAAAATAATGTCAACTGATTTATTAATAGCAGCTTTTCCAAACTGAATACCTAGAGATGTTGAATATCAAGTGTATTAAATCTTTAGCCTATGTATTTAATAATCGCATAAGCTGGTATATGTAGCAGAGAAATGTCAGTATTGCCAATAAGACTAGTGTCATAAGAAAGTTATCAGTCACAATGTTGAAGCAAAAGCAACAAATGATATTGATTACATTTAGGATAACGTTTCATAAAATATTATCTATTTTATCGTGTGCATGTGAAGGGTTCTTCTAAGATAACTAATAGATATATAGAGAATCATTTGGAACTAGAGTAATAAGGAAAAATAAATATAGAACAATTAAGCATCAAAGTGTCTTCCTAGCCATTTACAACACATAAGTTCAAAACATAGATTGTTAGGCTATGCTCCTGTTTTTATTTATTTATTTATTTATTAATGCAATTTATATGGCCATCCATCTCATGGGAAATGATTCTGATGATGCACAAAAATCCAATAAAATAATACAATAATTTCCTAAAAAACATTATGTAATAATTATTTAAAAAGCATTAGAAAGTATAAAAGAGGAACTAAAAGAAAAAGAAAATAGTAGATGGAGAGATGTTAATGGAGCCCCATATGAGTTCATCCATCCCTGGGTTCCCCAGCCCTGCTGGCATGACCAGGTCTTCAGAGACATTTGAAAGGTCAAGAGTAATGAGAGAAGAATACAATGCAGATGATACAGCAGAAAAAGCTCATTTGCACCTAACAACATTACAACTTTGCTTTGCAGCACTTTTTCCATTTTTCCCAAGGGATGACTTCAACTCATTTTTAATCCATGAGGCATATGTCACTGTTAGCTGAATTATATCAAAATAATATTCCAACAACAGCTAGTGGTAAAATCTCAATAAGCCCTCATTTCCTGCAATGGAATTGGCAATGGGAGGCAAATATGTCAACATCTGTTAAATTGTACATCTTTATCTTGTTTTAAAGTTTACATGCAGGCAGTAAATATCACGATATGCACTGAATGCTAGCAATAATTAATATAAATATTGCATTTATTTATCATTTTAGTCATATCTGTTCTATTTATTTGTAAGATTCCAATAAAATCAGAGTGCACATCACCTGCACATGGTTCTGATAGATCAGACCAATTAAAATAGAACTCCAAGGCTTGAGTTTTCCTCTAAGAACATGTTTATTGGTTACAAAGTATTGGCACGATCAAAAGTGAAACCAAGACTAAAGTTCCCTCCAAAAGCAACAATATTACAAAGTTAAAATTCCCAAATCTATGCAATCAACTATGTTTCCCAATAGAATAGTTTGATGGGTTTTCTGACATTAAGCTCAAACCCCCCCCCCACAACTGAGGGAACAGAAATGACCTTGGTTCCCATGGGACAAAGAATTGTTTAGGTTAGCATAGAACTTCCCATACCTCCTTCCTCCAATTTTGTGGCAACCGAAAATGAACAAGATGCCTTCAGTCGGGTTCATTGCAAGTTTGACACTATTATTATAGATTCAGTAAATTTCATTAACTAGTTATTAATACTTCTCAAATAACTATTCCTTTTCCTAAGTTTAATAGACAGATTAAGAACAAAAATAATTGGCAATACTTTCCGGAAAGAAGTCTCAATAATTACTGTATATTGGCTATTATGCTATGATCTATAGTACATCTATCCCTGAAAGATTCACAAAATCAGGAATATCTCATGCAGAAATTACGGGACCACATTCTAAATGATTCCTCGTGGCTTTTTTCTTCATGAATAATAATTGAGTCCTATCTCCCTATAATAGACATTATATGTTTTATTTCACTCCACAATAATGTCTGAAAGTTGTAAAAGACTAACTAAATATGGCACTTGAATATGACTTTAAACACAGAAAGTTTTGTGCTAGCCAATTCTAGAGAGTAAAACTGTTATTTATTCTATAAGTAGCTTTCTAAGGCCTAAACAATTTTTCTAAAAAAAAATCCTGTTGGCCTCAGATATCCAAAAAGCAGTTTAATAAGTATATTATTAAATGTTCATTTTAAAACTAGCATCTGGACAATCATACTCCAAACAAAATTCATTGGTAAATGTTTTACAGCCTATGCAGGAAAAAAAACACATCCCTTTAATGAAGAAAGGGACAGAGGAAAGGAGGGGAAAAAAGATTACAATGGCTTATATTACTGATTAGACAACCAACAAAAAAAATGTTTCAGCAGCTTATCACATGCAATTTATAGCCCAAAACTACATTAGATTCTATATCTTTAAGGATCAGGTTGATAGTTCTTTGCTAGAGACATATATTGACTGTTTCATCTGCTATAGCAGATACACAAGAACTTTGGTAACAACTGTTTTACCTGTGATAAGATTTGCCTTACCATATGATAAAGAAATCTTTCTCAAATGCCCTCAGGTCATCTTCTTTAGTTTTCTGTTTTTACTGTAGGTAGACTTCTACAAATTGGGGGAATGTTCACTCTTTCAAAATTAAAAGCTGTGTTTTAACTACTCTCACAGTCCTCAATAAATGTATTAGAAATAAATCTAATCTGCTTCAATAAAATTTGCCTCTGATATGCATAGGATCACCATCCAAGTTAGTGTCTGTCATCTTTTAGATTTATTTTAGGCTTGTTCTAAGTTGGGAAAATTAAACTTCTTGGAGTTGAGCTCAGCTAGGTGCTATTATAGCCAAGCATTCTTTTTGCTTTTGTTTTATTCCAAAAGTATTTTTTCAATGCTTAATCCTGCTTCTTTTTTCCAATGGTCTCCCTTGTTAACTATAAAGTAGGTTTGATCCTAATTTTTTTATAAGTCAGTTTAAATATACCATGAATAAATAAATGTCAAGAAATGTATATGTTTATGCATACCTGTGATCTAAATGATGAACAGAAAAAATAACACCTGAATTTAAAAGTGTTTGTTTGAGAGATACCAACATGGTAAATTCATGTTTATTTCTCAGTTTCTGAAAAAAAAGTTCAGCTTTCTCTGGAGATGCTTTTATATTTCTTGCAGTTCCTGAAATAAAGCAAAACAAAAACAAAAACAAATTATTCTAATTCAAAAGCAAATTAGGCACAGCAACATCTTTAGAGTTCATTATAATGAAAAAATAATTGATTAGTCAAATGCAAAAAAAACTTTCAGACCTATTTCATTATGTATTTTAGTATAGAATTAAAGTCAAGTATTCATCATCGCTGAAATGCTATTTTTTAAAATTGTTTAAAACATTTAAAGGTTTTTTTTACATATAAACATGTTGTTTTCAATGGATTCCATTTATTAGAACCATGTCTTCCTAGAAATTTTTACCAAATTTTCATCAAGAAGAGAAATTTAAATTCAGTTTAGGATCTTTAAACTGTTCATTTTTGTAACAATATTGTATTAATTTTGAAATTACATTTAATTTCCTTAGTATTCCTTATTTTGTTACATAATATCAGTATTAATAAATTATGGAGCAATTTAAATGTAATCACTTCAGTGTTCATTGTTTTACCAATCATAAATTAAAATTATAAAGTATTACACATTTGTATTCTGTAAAGTGTACACCAAAGTCTGAAAATATAAACAGTTTGTTTACCAAAGTTGGCAAAGAACAAAGGAAAAATACTCAGGAAAACATGTATCTTACCCAAAGGCTAAAACACACTGCAGCTCTTTACAAAACACTGTGGCATTTACTCTTTGCAAGAAACAGACAATAAAATTCACAATTCTAGGAGACTTCTGGTTTTGCGCTGTAGCACCCAGTTGTGGGGTCACAGATGTCCACACTCCACAGCTAGTTTTGCCATGCCAGGGAACCCTAAATGGGTCTAGGTTGCCCTGGAGAGGTAGTGAAGAAAAGAAGGGTGCCCCAATGATTCTGGAATGATGGTGGTCATTTCACTTGATTTGGGGAAAGCCTTCTAACCTGACAGGAGAAAGGCTGGTCACACTTTGTTGACTAGCCCAAGCTACTTGCAGCCGAAGTCCAAAGGCACTAACCAGTACAACGTGACCAGCGGGCTTGAAACTGGGTGAGAAATTTGATCTTCTCTCTCTTATTTTATATCTGATTTCCTGGAAAAGTTCCCCAAGAAGCAAAAACCCTTCCAAAGTGAGAAGGGGGGATTACCTCACCCTTCTATAGATGGAAACGGTAAACTAAAACCTTATGGGGAATAAAAATATAAAATACCACAGTTTGGATAAATTTGAAAGCTAAGAAAATTGTTAAAACTCTATACCTGAAAAAGTATTGATGAAATTATCTATCTATCTATCTATCTATCTATCTATCTATCTATCTATCTATCTTTGGTTATTCAGGTTTTCTCCCGCGTAAAATTGGAAGTGTCTTGGCGATGTTTCAACAAAGTCCCATTTGTCATCTTCAGGCTGGTGTTTTCAGCTTCGTGCTTCGAGGAGCAATGTGTGGTCTTAGCTGTTTCTTCCTTTTAACTGCCAGTGGGGGTATGAACTGATTGGGTGGGAGCTTGGCTGTGTTCTGATTGGGTGGAGGTGTGTTCTGATTGGTTAGGGGCTTGGCTGTGCTCTGATTGACTGGGGGAGTGTTCTGTTTGGGTGGGGGCTTTGTTGTGCTCAGGTTAGTCTGAGTTGCAGGGGGGTTTAAGATGCTGGGCTGCCTTGCTATTTTTTGGCTTCACGTTCGTGGTCATGCCTCATCTTCATGGTGGGTGTCAGTTTGCTTCATGTATGGATTGGAGGGGTTTAAAGTGGCTAATGATGCAGCTGTGGTCTGGCTTCTGGTTTGTGATCGTGCTTCATTATCGGTGTGGCTTTGGGTTTGCTTTTTGCGTGGATGTGTGGTGGTGACATCCTGTGTGGTTTTTGGAAGTGTGGGTCTGGTGTCATTTTTTGCGATAGGGAGTCGTTTGTCAATAAGGGCGGGTTTCCAAATGGCTGGTAGGCGGGAGGTATCATCTCATTTGTTCATGCTGTTGGACCAGGGAAGATATTGGTTCCTCTTTTTTGACTGAGTTCTTATGTTCTTCAATGCGTGCACTTATTCTTCTGTTGGTTTGTCCGATGTATGTGTTGGGACAAGCAGTGCATGGGATTTCATATACTCCTTGATTTTCTAACTCAATTTTATCTTTGTGGTTTCTTAGGATGGTGGATATTTTTCTGTTTGTGCAGAATGCTGTTTTGATGTTGTGTTTATGGAGGATCTTACTGATTCTGTCTGTAGTGCCTTTTATGTATGGGAGGAGGGCTTTGCCGTTTTCTTGTTCTCTGTCTTGGATTTTAGTGGGGGTTTCTTTTTGGATTAGGTTTGTAATCTTATTTCTTTGGAATCCATTGGATGTTAGTACATTGGTGAGAGTGTGTAGTTTGGTTTTTAGGTGTTGTTCGTCAGCTAAATGTTTTGTTCTGGAGATGAGTGTCTTGGCTACAGAGTTGATCTCTGCTGGGTGGTGGTGTGAGAGAGCATGCAGATAGTGGTTAGTGTGTGTTTTCTTCTGGTAGATGGTGTGTCCTAGTGACCCATTGGAATTCTTGTAGACTAAGACATCCAGGAAGGGAAGTTGGTTATTAGCTTCTGTTTACATGGTGAACTGTATTTTGGGGTGTAGGCTGTTGAGGTGTGTGAGGAAGTTGTCCAGTTTTTCTTTCACATGTGGCCAGAATATGAAGGTGTCGTCTACGTATCTGAGCCAGAGTTTGGGTTTGTGTTCAGATTTTTCTAGAGCTTGGGTTTCAAAGGTAATGATACCTCCTGCCTACCAGCCATTTGGAAAGCCGCCCTTATTGACAAACGACTCCCTAACACAAAAAATGACATGAGACCCACACTTCCAAAAACCACACAAATGTCACCACCAGACATCCAAGCAAAAAGCAAACCCAAAGCCACACCGATAATGAAGCATGACCACAGACCAGAAGCCAGACCGCAGCTGCATCATTAGCCACTTTAAACCCCTCCAATCCATACATGAAGCAAACTGACACCCACTATGAAGATGAGGCATGACCACGAACGTGAAGCCAAAAAATAGCAAGGCAGACTACCATCTTAAATCCCCCTGCAACTCAGACTAACCTGAGCACAACAAAGCCCCCACCCAAACAGAACACTCCCCCAGCCAATCAGAGCACAGCCAACCCCCCAGCCAATCAGAGCACAGCCAAGCCCCTAACCAATCAGAACATACCTCCACCCAATCAGAACATAGCCAAGCTCCCACCCAATCAATTCATACCCCCACTGGCAGTTAAAAGGAAGAAACAGCTAAGACCACACATTGCTCCTCGAAGCACGAAGCTGAAAACACCAGACTGAAGATGACGAATGGGACTTCGTCGAAACGTCATCAAGACACTTCCAATTTTACATGGGAGAAAACCCGAATAACCAAAGACCTACATACAAACACCCGCGAAAACCTCAGAAATATATATATTTTTGTTTATATATATATATATATATATATATATATATATATATATATATATATGAACAAAAATAACTTTTTTGTTCTAAAAAATTGAAAAACTATAGCAACACTGACACAGAATTTGGCAAGATGCCTAGAAATAGCAACAAACTGCTGACCTTCTGGAATTATAAACACACTGAGCTGCACTTTTAAATCTAAGAACTGCTTGCAGAGTTAGAAAAATCTTGATCTCTGGCTAATCTTCTAAAGGAGAAATTACTGGAAAACTTTTAGATGGTCAAATACTTGGACTGAATCCCAACTGGTTGATAATTACAAGATTCCTGAAAAGAAGAACTGTCAAAATTATTGTTTTCAGTGGTGCCTTGACAATTGAAAACATATTGGATTATAAAACCATTATATAAAGATAAGAACTTCATAAGATTTCGCTGTTTGGATTTTAAGATGGATTGGCTTGATAAAGCTAATTAAAAAGATTATGACACTGATAAAAAACTACTTAGAGGAGAGAGATAAAACGGATATTATATACCTATCTAAAAGTGATAGAAAACCATACCCAATACCTTCTCCTGAAGACCCCAGTTTGGAGCTTCAAAGATCTGCAGGAACAATGACTGAAGACAAAACAAATACATTCCAGGAGAAAATATACACAATGCTGTGACAGATTCAAACAATAATTGTTTCAAACCATGATGTGATTAGAAATAAGTTTGACAATATAAATGAACATATCTCTAACAAACCTAGAACTAAATGACACTCAAAAAATGACAACAAAGAATGAACAAACAAATCAGACAACAGAATATAAATTAAATGAAAGTGACTTAAATAGAAAAGCTACAAATGAATACAAACTTAATACAAACAAAAAAATCTGCAAAACCTTACTATAATAAAGACAAAAAAGATGCTTTATCCTCCAGGACTTCAAAACAAATTTGAGAATAAAAAAGAACTAATAAAATTGATTAAAGAACTGTCAGAAGCATCACTAGATAAAATATTTTTGAAAACAGATGAAACTCTGATTAAGAAACTTTATAAATTCCTGCTAAACTGGAAGATGGAAGAAGAACAAGTGAAAGAAACAATGATAGTGTGGGCAAAGAATTTTGGTTATTCTATAGATTTAGAAGATTGGCAAAAACTATGGGACCGAAATATTAAATTTACTAAAGCAGCTGCATATAAGGAAAACTTATATAAAATGTTTTATAGATGGCACATGACACCAGTTAGATTAGAGAAAATGTTTAAAAATGTATCAAATATGTTTGGAAATGCAAACAACAACCAGGCACTTATTACCATCTCTGGTGGATATGTCCTAATGTTAAAAAAAAATTGGTTTAAGATCCATATGTGGCTAGAAGAGATGATTAAAATACAGATAGAATTTAAACCAGAACTCTGTTAGGAATATTAGGTTTGAATTATGGAAAAGAGAACGAGTATTTAATATTGCATGTGCTGACAGTCGCAAGAATAATATTTGCCCAATTTTGGAAAAATAAAAATTTACCAGCTGACCAGGCTATAATAACAAAAATACTCGAATGTGCAGAAATGGATAGACTGACTTTAGAA